CCAGCCTCAGCAGACACTGCGCGACGCCTCCTCCACCCGCCGCTGTCGTGGACGGTTAGGGGGGAACCAGGGAAGCGCCTGGTCCTGGGCCCCTTTACTGTCTGTTTTCCGGCGCAAAAGACTCCACCGGTCCCCAGCCTTGGACTCTTGGTGCGTCTCCGGGCGGTTTCTCTGTCCTCGGGTGGGTAGAGGTTGGTAAAACATGCGTGCCCGCCGAGCGCCAGCGCAGGGGAGCTGGCTCGGACCGTCCCCAGGTACCCGTCCCCAGGATCCGTCCCTGGGTAGCTGTACCTCCTCTTCTCCCCGCACGTCCCCGCCGTCCGGCCACTCCCTGGGGTCCCCGCCACTCCATGGAGTTCCCACCACCGTCTGCCTGTGGCCCGGGACCGGGTCTAAGCGGCCACCCCGGCTGGGCCGCCGCTGATGTCTGGACCTGGATTTCCAGCCGTTTCCTTGCAGGTCTCGGATGCACCGTGTGCTCCTTAAGCTCAACCTGGATCCACCGAGACCCGTGGCCGGTGCCCCTCCTTCTGCTCTTGTACCTGCAACACCTGGCCCAGGACTGTTTGAATGAATGCATGAGTGAGTGAATGAGTGAATGAGTGAGTGAATGAGTGAGTGAACATATGAATGAATGAGTGAATGAATGAATGCATGAGTGAGTGAACGAGTGAGTGTGTGAATGAATGAACGCATGAATGGATGAGTGAACGCAGGAATGGATGAGTGAATGAATGAATGTGAGTGCATGCATGGGTGAATGAATGAACGCATGAATGGATGAGTGCGTGAATGAATGAGTTAATGAATGAATGAGTGAGTGAGTGAGTAAATGCATGAATGAGTGAGTGCATGCATGAGTGAGTGAATGGGTTGATATAGTTATTACCTCTGCATGAAGGCATGAAATCATGAGAAGGTAACTGTTGGGCGGGAGCTGTGTGGGAAACGTGGACCTAGTGCGTGCTATTTATATGTGTGGCAGTAACAGACCTGCGCCTGATGGGTGGTCTGTCGCTTACAAAGCACCTGACACGCGTTTCTATTTGTTTCTGTGTCCACAAGTGACACATGCCACACGCACACGCTTACACACAGCTCGCGGCCAGCGCTGCGTTTCCTTGTTAGCAACTTGCCTCTGAGCCGCCGCTGTGTACGTTCCGGTGGCCGCACACGGCTCCCGGGTTGACAAGCAGGCGCACTGCACGCGCATAAAGGACTTAACGGCGATGAACTTACAAACTCGAGTTGCACGTTTTGCTGGAAATAGCACATCACAGACCCGCCGCCCTCCCGTCTCCAGCCCCCAGCAGCCCCCTCTCCCTCCTCAGCGAGTCCATTTCCAAATGTTGTCACACAGTTATTTGGACAAACGATTTCAGTGGCGCCCTTTCGAAATAATCGTGGAAATGGATTCCTTACCGAACGTTCATTTCCTGGCGCCGTTTCCGGCTCCTCACAGCCCCCGGTTCCCTAAGGACACGCTGTGCCCACGCGCGGTGGCCGTCCCCCCAGAGACCTCCGGGAGAGGGGGTCCCCGCTTTCCGATCTTTTATTTTTTTAACATATTTTTATTGATTTCAGAGAGGAAGGGAGAGGGAGATAGAAATATCAGCGATGAGAGAAAATCATGGATCGCTGCCTCCTGCACGCCCCACACTGGGGATCGAGCCCCCAACCCGGGCCTGTGCCTTTGACCGGAATCGAACCCGGGACCCTTCAGTCTGCAGGCCGACGCTCTATCCACTGAGCCACACCAGCCAGGGCACGTTCAGATCTTTTAAAGGGCCAGATGAGATTTTATATCCTTCCCCGCCCCTCTCCTCCCTCCCTCCAACCCCCCTCCCCGCAC